TAGGAAATTCAATTTTCCTTCTACCTACATGATAGTAGTGTACAAAGAACTATAACCTTTATGGTTAATCGAGGCTTCTTTATGGATAAATCATTACAAACTTATTTAGATAGGCAAAAATAGATAATAATTTATATGTGAAACTTATAAAACTTATTTATTCCATGCAAGACTGACACATGTTACTGCAAGTAAGAATTGCAACAAAGAATATATAAACGCTCAATATTAGTCTTCAAGCTAATAAAGTAACCATTAACTCTTCTATGGGTTTACATAATCCACTTAATTCAACAGGAACTAAAACATAAAGCACCATCACCACCACTACTACTACTACTTTAGGATAGTAAGTTTAAAGACGTACAAGTCTATAAGCACATAGCTAAGCTCTTCTTCAAGAGAACCTTTAAATATTCTAATTCTTATCTATTCTTACATGTCTTAGCTTCTATGCTTGACATTTAGCAGTTTCATGTATGCTCTACTTCATAGTTGTGATATGTAATCATGATCCTTCTATGAGTACAACATATCCAAGTCATATATCCTAATTCACAATGCGGTCCAAAAATTCTAACTCAATTTCTACTTGATATTGAGTAATTATGGATGATAAATTTGAATACTTCTAGTACTTCAATGCTCTCAATCTTTCTATTTCAAGAAATATTTCTTCTAGAATTAGACAAAGTCTTATTTGCCATCTCGTCTTCTATGACTTTTAATCACAAAGCTTCAAGCTTATTGTATTTGTTTATAGAGCAGCATTATATCCCATATGGTCATATAGCTTGAAAATTCAATTTTCAATATTTCTGGCATTATGCAATCATAATATAGGATATCTTCTAGAATTTCTCATTCAGAGAGTCCCATAAGACCTTTGGGATTTAGCTTGGTCACATACTAATTCTTTGAGAGTAATATAAGGAACTATAATGCTTAAGGTCCACTCCACTTCAGTGGCAGTAGAATATCCTACTAGGATTTAATAAATGACCATGCTATATAATTCTGTCATTCATGATAAATCCAGGATATTTCTTCTTCACGAAGGTATGCATATATTATTATTACCGAAAATCATCATGTGCGTATGAGTTTACTGCATGTAAACAAGTGGCAAAGTACAAAAAGATAGCGGATGGTTATACAAAATACTCTTAGAACATCCTAGCTTTTTTTAGGATTATGGTATATACAAATTTTCAGAATTAATATCAACCATTCATTCATCCCAAAAATTCATTATGCTAGAAAAAACGAATATGAGCCTCTCAAAGGTGATAAGTCTAAGGTCTGCAGGATTTATAGAGAGCTCATATACCTTATACCATGTTTCTAGTGTAATCATTCAAGATTTCATTCTTATAATTACATGATATATAATTCATAATGTGTGGTAGATAAATGCATTCAAAAGAGCATAATAAAATATCAACACATGGTACGTATGTATAAACATAAATTAAATATTATAAATGCATACAAACAGAAGGATTTTACTGTTTAAAGCCTACACACAATTTCTTCCAGAAATTTAAGTAACTTGTGGCTCATGTAGCTGCAAGCTTCATGCTTAACCATGGTGATGAGCTCCATGCTAGCATCAAATTAATAACCCATCATGCATGTTCAAACTGCAGGTTCAAAATTTCCAAGGTCAGACAAAAACAAGACCGTATATTAGATTAGCATGTAGGAGCTACGGGTTTCTAAATCAATCTACTAACTGCTTATCTAACAGATGTATAATCAACAGGATCAATCTACTAGATGCTTGTACTAGATAGTACTAATACACAACTTCATGTTGTATGTAATGCAACGTCCTTTAGGGCTTCGTTATGCATATTTTTGCTGACCAATGCGAGGGGATTAGCAAGCCACGTGTGGGTGGACGATGAGTAGACGGCGTGCAGGCCGCATTGTTTGATGGCATGTGAGCCGTGGATGACTCGGCGACGTACAACTCACGGAGAATACAACAACATCGTTCGTATCGCAAGCCCGCGACTGGGGCTTGTGGCATGCGACGGAGGCAGCATACAGGCCGCGATGCTTTGTGAGATCGTTCAGCGACTTGCCGATTTGCAGTCCGTGTTGCTCAAGGAGATGGTAGCGGCGTGCAAGCCGCAATGGAGGAACAGGACGTTAGTCACGAGCGGTCTTGCGGCGTGCAGGCCGCGTGCAGTAGGAGTGGCAGCAATGCCAATGGCTTTGAGCCGGGGATCATGAGCCGTGCGGACCACTGTGGGATATCCGGTGAGTTAGCGGCAGCATGCGGGCTGCTTTTTACACAATGATGTGTAGGCTGTACAGCAAGACGGTTTGGATTTGAAGCCACGCGTGACTCGGATGCAATCTGAATTTGAGTAGGACGTCAATGACAATTGTTGATGGCTTACCGACATATGTTTGATGGATTCCATACCAATTCATGGCTGTTATTTTGGATCTTCGAGTCCAATTAATATTGTTGCAAGCGACTTTAATGACGATGAGGATGGATGTATCTTCCTGGATCAGCCTCTAATCCTAATTTGCATGGCACTGTGATGGCTACTAGACCCATCATACAAGCATATGTACTGTTCATGTATGCATGTATGTTCGTACTTCATGTACGGATGTTACGTAAAAGACCAATAAAATCTAGCTCAATGGCTAGGACAAACACACAATCTGCAAGACGTGTTTTCTCGTACCTTCTTTTGATCGGATGCCAGTTGATCTACTTCACATGCCGTGTATGGCAGTGGTTAATAGATACATATCGCGTAGGGCGTTTGGCATTGTCGTAGATATCTCTATCTGACGGCGAAGGTGCAGTCGATGTAGTGCATATTAGTTGCAGGTAGAGGTAGCATATCCGTTCCGCTAACACGTCGGGGATGTCGACGTCGTCGAAGTAGTCGCGTCAAGAACATGTCGGCGTCGATGATCAGCGACGGCTTCAACGACGATGTCGATTGTAGAGCTTGTCGTGCTGATAACGTGTTATAAAATATGTTGCCAGCGATTAAGATATTTCCCTCTCCATCTCTCATGATGAACATAGTAGATGAAAGTAGAACACATAGACACAAGAGATAGGGGGACTATTCTTTATTTCTCTGAATATTGGTGATTACATCATAGAGCTCCTATATATATATAGTCCTGCAAAGACATAAGAGTTTGGTAAGAGCCCACGTACAAATAGACTAGTAATTGGATTCCTTCTCCTAAGTCTATATGTTTTACAACAGAGTCTATATGTTTTACGCTATACAGTGACTCGTTAAACGCCGCTTAGCTACAGTGCATCAGAATCCTCCGTGCCCTGAATTGGCATGTGAAAAAAAGAGTCCCGCGGCCCAGTCGAAGGTTGGGTAAAGCGAAGCGAGTTGGGCTAAGATAGATATGGTTGAGCCGGCCCAGGTAGGGTTGGATCTAGACGAGCTTACGGCCCAGTTTAGAGCTTTGCTCACATGGCGGCCCAGTTTAGAACTTATTTACTTATCGGGAAAAAAATCTAAATGACTCTGTCAAATTTGGTATCTTTTACAAGACGAATTTTGCACCATAAAAACTGGCACCTCATTTGGCCACGTCTCAGGTTCCTCCATCGGCCACGTGCCTATCTCTTCCATAATACTAATCCAGAGCTAGGTTCGCGAACCCTCTTGGTTCGTTGCCCGTGGTGCGGGCGAGGCGCAACCGGCGAGGCCATAGACCGTGCCGGCCGTTGTCCTGGCCGCCACCAGCTGCGTGTGTATATTTATTATATTTTATTACACAAGCTAGCTAATCTTCTACGGGAGCATGCATGGTCGTGAACTGCGGTTAGCCATGCATGTACGCAATTCCTGCATGTACTGGTGGTACAATACGTGTACGCATGAATACACGTACGGCACTTTTCTTGGTTTGCCCTGCATACAAAAGCGATGAAATGACCGGTATATATATATATATATATATATATATATATATATATATATATATATATATATATATATATATATATATATATATATATATATGATGTGTGTGTGTGTGTGTGTGTGTGTGTGTGTGTGTGTGTGTGTTCTTCCAGAAGCAGAGCGGATCTGAAGGTGCACAGTAGCAGAGCACATGCCCTTAGGGGCAATTTTTACTTTCTCATGATGGCCATGTCATAATCATCAATAGATGATATAATTAACTGTATCCTGCAGAACTCTATCTGCACCCTGTATTGACTATAGTATTGATTTTTATTTGTACTATAGGTTAGAAGTTTAACAGATTGTTTTCTTTAAAGCAGGAAACGAACAGATGTTCTCTTCCATTGTTCAAAGAGAGAAACAAAGAACCAGAAGGCAAATATCATGCTTATCTACCCATATGGATTTTTTGAGCAATTTGCATTGTATAATCTTATTACATAAGCCAAACAAATGCCTGTTGACTCGTACCGAATACCTGTTCACTCGTACCGACCCATACGAGTGAATATAACCTAGAGCGTTTATGCACAAAGCATGGCTTATGTAATAGCTCAGATTTTTTTAACTATTTTCCAATACCCGCACAACAAGATTTGTACACAATGATTAAATGGAGTGGTATGCAGCATTCACTTTAGAATATATATGGGAGATGAAAATTAACTTCTGTAAGAAGCACGATATATAGACCATAGGTCAAAATGCAAAGAAGAAAACACTGGCTACCTACTTAGTCTGCCATCCTTCGTGCAGCCGCGCCAGGTTTTCTAGTATGTTCAGATGACGACCCAACACACGTTTGGTTCCGTCTATTTGTGCAACTGTTCTTACACATGCTGGCAATGTCGGGGTCCTCCTTAAATTAAATTCAAAAATGTTCTTCAGCCTCTTTAATGACGTGTCAACGGACATGTTTTAGAAAAAAAAGGTTCTTAGTGCCTCACAAATCAGACACAAAACTGAGGCAGATTATTTACGTGACTACGGCCGCAAGGTATAAATAGGTGCATCTGATCTGCATCGCTACGCCCCGAGAATGGGCGGGCGGGCGTAGGGTCCCCTAAGCCATCCATCGGCGACGAGGTGGTACGCCGCCTCGGTGAGGTGGACGCCGTCCCAGTTGACGTACACCGACGGGTTGGCGCAGGCGGCCACGCCGGGCATCCCGCACGCGGCGCTCAGGTTGAAGTTGTACTTCCCGCCGCCGCCGCCGCAGCAGTCCCGCAGCGCGCCGTCCGCGCCGTCGAACCCGAACCGTGCCGGCGCCGCCGCGAACGCGATCACGGGCGCGTACAGGTCGGCGTAGGTGATCCGCGTACCCGGGTACCTGCCGCCCAGCGCCGTCAGCGCCTGGCTCAGCTGCGCGTTGTGCGCCTTGGACAGATCGTTCAGGCCCTTCAGGCACCCCGTGTCCGGCTCGTAGTCCGCCCCGTTCTGGCTCGCTAGCATCACCAGGTTCCCCGGCGCGCAGCCCATCGGCGAGATCCCTGACACCACGATCGCCGTGGCGCCGTCGTTGATCAGCTTCTGCATGCATGCACCCGACAGTAGTGGAGTGATCAGCTTGCCGTGCGAGATAGGTCGGTGCATGGATCATGCATGCATGTCAGCTACAGTTCGACCGTACGTACCTCCGTGGCAGCAACGATTGTTGCAACGATCCGAGGCACGTAGGCCTGCGCTTCAGCGACGCTTTTGCCGCCGACCAGCATGACGCCATAGTCGTTCCAACCCAGCTCGCCGACGACGAACAACGCCTTCCCGAAAAACTCCTTGCATGCTACAGAGCGCATCAGCTATGTACACATCAGTATCGCGTACTACGTACAGAACAACTGACATGAGCACCAATGTATCAGGATGATGCCGTGGCGTCTCACACCAATGAGTTACGTACCTTGGGGTGAGCCGCAAAGCGAGGGCTTCATGGCGTCGAACCACCCCAGCTCGTCACTGAGTGAGACGTTATTCGGAGGAGGCTTGGCGCCGCCGCCGGCGGCCTGCGGGTAGAACGCCGCTGGGCTCGTGCTCGTCTTCAGCGCCGTGGCACCAGCCACCGCGAAGTTTGCGCCTTGCTTGAAGCTTTGATTCTTCGACAGTGACGGCGGAAGGAGAGGCAGCCCCAGTGCCTGGGCTGCAGCGTGGGACCACACCGTACGCCAAACGGGCGGCGTGAATCAATCGATCAGGTATATGCAGGTGCAGCATGCATGCCGGCATTACATTGCCGGCGTCGAGATAATTAAGGAGCAAACGAAACTACGCTCGCCGTGGAAGAAACTTACCGATGAAATCTATGACCAGTCTGCCGTCGGAGAGGCGGCCGGTGGGATGCCCAAAGAAGGTCATCCCGTACGGCGGTTTGTTGATCAGCAGGCCTGGCGTCGTCGGGCCGAAGAGGATGACCTTGTTGCCGGTGTCGGTGTAGGAGTCACCGAAGCTAAAAATCGAGCTGTATTGGGCCTGCATCGAATAGGAGAAGCTGGAGAGGAACAGAGAGATTTGCAGGCAAAGAATTGCGTGCTTCATTGTTCTTTGTCCTGACGATCGAACAGATCAGTTGCTTCCTGTAGCCCTCTCAATCTCAAGTCTCGATCTCAAGAAAAGAAACAACAGGTATACTACTGAACTTGTACCTGAATTCTCTTTTATAGAGAACATTTGGCGGATCATCAATCGTCATTGACTCTGTTGTTACTATTTGGGCTGATGTCAGATATAGCACCAAATAAACGGAGAATAAAATCTTCTGTGCATTTTTGGCATCTGATTTCTCTAATGAATATCGAGATTTAAAATAATATGGTATAACCAGAAATTGTATACACTCACTACTATAAATATTCTGTACATGCATGCAAAGATTATAGCATTTACAAATTATATTCTATATATCTCCCTTCCATGTAGATTTATTATGACTTTCTCTTCCTTGTTTCCTTCTTTTGAAAACTTTTAACGGCAGAGTTTCAATTGAAAATTTTCAGCTCAGTATCTAGAACTCAATATTATTGCTCGTACGAGTTAGGCCCAAATTGCCCTCTAAGCCCAACTAAAACCAGCATGATTTGAGCCCATAAGAGGTAGACACAGGTCTGCAACTACGATTTTTTTCCTTTATCTCATACTTGTGTACCATAACAATTTCTCAAAAAAAAAAAAAACTTGTGTACCATAACAGATTTTAGGCCCGTTCGATACACAGATTCTAAACATCAAGTTAGTTAATGATAAAGAATGGATTACTTTGTTGCAATCTCGCTATATTGAGAAGGACTTGAGCCGGTTTGGCTTTATGGATAGCAAGCCTTCTCCAACACCTTATGATCTCAGTGTGACATTAAGAAAAAACAAGAGAATAGCTAGTTCACTCATGTACTTAGCTAGTGCAACACGACCACATTTTTTTTTGGCTGTGAGCAAGTTGAGTAGGTTCATGTCGGGTGATGATCATTGGCATGCACTTGAAAGGGTATTGCATTATCTTAAAGGTACAATGAGCTATGAGATTCACTATTCTAGGCCTTAGCTGTGCTTGAGGACTATAGTGATTCAAACTGGATATCTGATATTGATCAGATCTACGCTACAAGTGGGTATGTGTTTACTCTTGGAGGTGGCGCAGTGTCATGGAGGTCTTGCAAACAGACAATTTTGACGAAGTCAACCATGGAGGCAGAATTTAATGCTTTGGATACAGCTTGTACAGAGGCAAAAAAGCTGTGTAAGCTCTTGTTGGACTTGCCGGTGGTTGAAAAACAATACCGACTATCCTTATGAACTGTGATAAACAAACGGTGAATACTAAGGTGAACAGTGCTAAGGATAATTCGAGGGCAACATGACACGTTCAAGGACGCTTGAAGTCAACAAAACTCCAGAGTAATCATTGTGGCTTATGTTGAAACAGACAAAAACCTGGCAGATCCCTTTACAAAAGGGCTATCACGGAATGTGATAGAAAACACATCAAGGGAGATGGGTATGAGACCCATGTGAGTTTACAATAGTAGTATCCCAACATTTTTGATCGAAAATCCCATGACTAAGGACCTGGGAAGAACAAGCTATTGGTAAATTGAAGAGAGAGTAACCTATAACCCTCTCTAAGTGAAGATGCAATACTCTCAGAGCTATGAGGCGTTGTAAGGCAGGTTGGCGAATGCCTTAATGTGTTCTATTGGCTTTAACAAACGAAGGTGCTATCCTACGGAGCATTCTTGAAAGAACATACCTATATGATAACTGTTTAGTTGATTTCTTTCCTGGCTGCAAAATTAAAACTTTTTATTTAGGGCTTGGATTCTTAAGTGCGATTGTCACAAAGGAACCAAAGTGTTTGTGATTGGCCTTTCTCGTAGCACATGTGATTAGTGCTATTTGTATTCGTTGTTAGTTTTGAACCGCTAATCATTGTGTTAGTTTCAGTAAACCCCAATTTATAATATCTCAGGACGTTTATGTTTCAATTGCAAAAGAATACTAGCTAGTAGTTTTTTTTTGTTCCAATTTATAACTGAGACAATATTTTTAGCAAGGTTTCTGCCATTGCTTTCTCATCACAAGCTTGTTCAATGTAATTACTAATTAAAACTAATACTGCGTTCTAGATTATTATTCACTTTGACTTTGTCATAAGTGAAACTTCTCTAAATTTAACCAAGTTCTTTAAAAATCTATAATGGTACCCAAGTTTGTAAAATGCACATCAATACATATTTGCATAGAATTTAATGGAGCTACTTTGATTGTAGGTGTTGTGTCATTTTTTCTATAGACTTGGTCAAGTTAGAGATGTTTGACTTAGGACAGTGAATTCTAATTTGGAATGGTTAGAGTATCGTTCTAAGGCAAACTAGCTAGAGATAATTTACATAGACGGTTGCATACATACATAGACCGACTGCAGTATCCCCATTGCTCCTATTTTTTTTATCTTGTTTCGGGCCGTTGTAATTCCATTCATATCTTGCATGCCGTTGTAATTTCTTGCATATCTTTCTTTGCTGTGAAAATAATAGGGGAAAGAGAACTCGTGTGGAAGATGAGGGTAGCAACATGCCTATGTCTAAAAAGCCTGTTGGTGCTGGTGCTGCTAGTGATGGTGATGGTGATGGTGGAGGTGGTGGTAGCCAACAATGGACAAGGGACAGGAGCTCGATAAAACCTATAAATGCCTCAAACTTGTTTATAGTAATTTCGTTAGGACATGGCTACCAAGTGAAAGATCTAGTTTGGTTTTGGTGAATTGATGAAACCCTAAGTGCTAACCTATTTGCTCTAGTGATCATGAGATAGGGAAGCACATTCCAAGTGGTGAAGCTAATGATGAAGATCATGATGATGGTGGTGATAGCCATAGTGATGATCAAGTGCTCGGGCTTTGAAAAGAAGAAAGAGAAAAACAAAATGGGCTCAAGGCAAAGGTGAATTTGATAGGGCCATTTTGTTTTAGTGATCAAGACACCTAGTAGGTGTGATCACACTTAGGATAGATAGCCGTACTTTTAAGAGGGGTGAAACTCGTCGTGAAATGCGGTTATCAAAGTGCCACTAGATGTTCCAACTCATTGCATATGCATTTGGATTTTAGTGAGTGCTAACACCCTTGAAAATGTTTGTGAAAATATGCTAACACACATGCACAAGGTGATACACTTGGTGGTTGGCACATTTAAGCAAGGGTGGTGAAGTTAGAGATCAAAAGGAGTTGAAACAGGGGCGTCGAACCCTGCTTCATTGAGCGTCGGACCGGCCCCTGCCTGGGTCTGACTGCTAACCCTAACGCGTGCACAGAGAGAAGGCGGTGTCAGATCGGGGCTTGCGGGGTCGTCGGACCGACCGCGCGCACTATTTATTCAGTGCCGCGCATGTGAGTGAGTGTGGACGTGACACGTGGCAGTGTCGGACTCACCCCTGAGTCTACCGGTCGACGTCAGACCAGCGTCTGAGGGTTTTTACCCTCTCTGGACCTTACTGGACCGCGTCGGACCCTCCCTAGGTGGAGTCCGACGGCGGGTCCGACGGTCTGGGTCCGATCGTGGTGATCAGCGCGCGACTTCTTGACCATTGGAGCCAACGGTCGTCTCGTTTGACTAGGACACGTGGCAACGTGGGAGTGGCTGTGGCCGGGCATCGGACCCTACGTCGGACGGTCACTTATGTGACCCAATGGCTCTATTTCGTGGGAGCTTCTATTTAAGCCCCATGGCCAGCTATAGCTCACCCTATTGGCCATTTTCATTGACGTAGCAACCTTATGAGCTAAGCCAAAGCCCTCCCACTCATTTGCATCGTTGATTTATCATCTTTGTGAGATTGGGTGTGAATCCAAGTGCATTGCTTGAGTGATTGCATCTAGAGGCACTTGGTGATTGTGTTTCGCTGCGGGATTCGCTTATTTCTCTTGGTGGTTGCCACCACCTCGATGGCTTGGTGCAGTGAGGATCATCGAGTGGAGGGTGGTTATTGTCTCTGGCTCCGATCGTGGTGATTATGAGGGGTTCTTGACCTTTCCCCGTCGGAGAGCCAAAAGGTACTCTAGTGGATTGCTCGTAGCTTGTGGATCCCCATCTTGTGTTGGTTGTGCGGCACCTGATTGCGGGTTAGGCGTGTGATGCCTATTAGCGCATGAACCTCCAAGTGGGTGAATTGCTACAACGAGGACGTAGCTTGCCGGTAAGCAAGTGAACCTCGGGGATAAATCATTGTGTCATCTTGTCTCGAGGATTTCTTGGTATTCATTGTGATTGATTGATCATCTCTTGCCACGGTGGTATAACTTCACTACCTCACTCTTGTGTTTACCTTCCTAGTGTAGCTAAGCTCTTTAGTGTAATTAGTTTTGAGAGCTAGTTTGTGTCTTGTCTAGTGGTTAGTGAGGCTTTTTAGTTAGTCTTTGAGAGCTCACTAACTTAGTGGTAGTGACTTAGCCTCTTGTGTGACATAGAGATCATAGACAACTAGAATTGTGGATAGGAGGCTTGCATTTTAAGTAGGCTAGCGCAATACTCGCTTCGCTTCTTAATTGTCTAACCACCTTGCTTAAGTGTTGTTGTAGAATTTTTGTAGGCTATTCACCTCTCTCTAGCCATTAGGACCTTTCACCAGTAAAACCTATAAATGCCTAACTTGTTTATCCTAATTTTGTTAGGACAGTAAAACCTACAAATTTCATAAACTTGCTTATAATAATGACATCTTATGTTAATTATATTTATGTGCTAAGTTGCAAGTCAATTGATTCTATTTTATTCTCAGGCTTACCTACTTGATTCTATTTTTTCTCAGCCTTGCCTACTTGCCTGTACTTTCAAGTAGTTGAGGAGTGCTTTTAATTTATCATGTGTTGGGGGAGCCCATATAGCATATGGGCTAAGTATTCCCCTTGAAAAGGCCCAATAAGTGCTAGTGTAGTAGCATGAGAAATTAGGCCCAACTAGTGCTAGTGTGGTGGCATGTAAAATCCACTCTCGTTTCTCAAAAAATAATATAAAATCCACTCCTACCAAGGGCCATGTAAATAGTCA